CTCTAGATACCTGATATGTTTACAAGGATATATCTCGATATATTGAATATATCTCTAGATACCTGATATGTTTACAAGGATATATCCTTATATATTTGATATACCTCTAGATACCTGACATGTTTGCTAGAATAACCTGATAATATATCTCTAGATATCTGACATGTTTATTAGGATAAATATCCTAATATATTAAATACATCTCTAGATACTTGACATGTTTACTAGGATTATATATCCTGATATATTGAATATATCTATAGATACCTAACATTTTTACAAGGATATATCCTGATAAATTAAATATATTTCTTGATACCTGACATGCTTGCTAGAATATATCCTTAGCTTGAATATATCTCTAGATACCTGACATGTTTATTAGGATATATATCCTAATATACTGAATATATCTCTAGATACCTGACATGTTTACAAGGATATATCCTGATATATTGAATATATCTCTAAATACCTGACATGTTTACTAGGATTATATATCCTGATATATTGAATATATCTATAGATACCTAACATTTTTACAAGGATATATCCTGATAAATTAAATATATTTCTTGATACCTGACATGTTTATTAGGATATATATCCTAATATACTGAATATATCTCTAGATATCTGACATGTTTACAAGGATATATATCTTGATATATAGAATATATCTCTAGATACCTGAAATGCTTACTAGGATTATATATCCTGATATATTGAATATATCTATAGATATCTAACATTGTTACAAGGATATATCCTGATAAATTAAATATATTTCTTGATACCTGACATGTTTGCTAGAATATATCCTTAGCTTGAATATATCTCAAGATATATTGAATATATCTCAAGATATATTGAATATATCTCTAGACACCTCAAATGTTTAATAAGATATATATATATCCTAATGTATTTAATATATCTCTAGAAACCTGATATGTTTGCTAGAATATATCCTGATATATTGAATATATCCCAGATACCTGAGATGTTTGCTAGAATATATCCTGATATATTGAATATATCTCTAGATACCTGACATGTTAGCTAGAATATATCCAGAACTTGAATATATTTCAGATACCTGACATGTTTGCTAGAATATATCCTGAGCTTGAATATATCTCTAGATACCTGACATGTTTACAAGGATATATGCTGATATATTGAATATATCTCAAGATACCTGACATTTTAACTAGGATATATATCCTAATATATTTAATATATATCTAGATACCTGATATGTTTACTAGGATATATCCTGATATATTGAATATATCTCTAGATACCTGACATGTTTGCTAGAATATATCCTGATATATTGAATATATCTCTAGATACCTGACATGTTTGCTAGAATATATCCTGAGCTTGAATATATCTCTAGATGTATATGTTGAGGTAAGCCCCCTGAGTATCCTAATCTACATTGAACCATGATCTGGGTTTCTGTCTGATTAATACTTCGGCACTCACCAGGACTCTCAGGAGGACCTAAAACTTTCAGAATTCATTTTTTTATTCCTTTTAAAGAGACGTGTAGACGAAATTGATGACCTAACATTTTAAATATTTTTTATTCTTTTTAAATTCATTTCTTAATTGTGGTTTCGCTTTAAATGTGACTTGCAGATTTCTGAGATTCGAAAAAACTACTTTTTAAATGAAAATAAAATAAATTAAAATAAATTTGAAAATATGAAATAAGGGTTTCTATTATAATACGTTTTAAATATGAAATAAGGGTTGCAATTATGATACGTTTTAAATATGAAATAAGGGTTGCTATTATGATACGTTTTAAATATGAAATAAGGTTTATATTATGATACGTTTTAAATATGGAATAAGGGTTGCTATTATGATACGTTATAAATGTGAAATAAGGGTTGCTATTATGATACGTTATAAATATGAATTCAGAAGCCCCAGGGCCCAGAATTGTTGAAAATACTTTTAAGACATTTTACTTCAATGTTATGTTTGCACTTGTGGTTTTAATCAAATTTTTAGAGAACATGATTATTTATCAAATTCATTTATTTATTGTTATTGTTTATCTTTCTGCTTGATTGAATTGCAATATAATTAAAGTTAGTTTAAGTAGCAGTTGTATTCCAATTAGAATTCTTTATTTACTTTAGAGTTTAATTTCAATATTAATATAAAACAGTGCAAGTTTTAGAATTATAGAATCTTCTAAACCAGTAAAAATATGGAACGTGATTGAAAAAAAAGACAAATAACAGTATTTGATGTAATAAAAACACTGCAAACTAGACAGAATGTTCACCATGGGTCCTGGAATATTGATTATATTGATGTACTGTATAGTGTAAAAGCTTCAAAAAAAAAATACAAAAATACTTAATACAATATAGAACTGTTTGGCAAATATTGAGTTAAGAATGATAACAAAAATAACCAAAATTAGGTAATTTTGGAATATTGCAGACATATTAAGCAAATCTCATAGCAAGATGGCAGTGCCTGATTTACATTTACTCTAAAAGTATCAGATTCTGATAATTTTTCCATTTCTTCTTAATAGGCAAGAATTGCGCAAGCCACTTTTGCAGAAAATCCACTAAAGAAAATAAGCAGTTAAAGAAACATGAATATCAGACAAAGCTCATTACATAGTTCCGTTGTCTTAGGACATTGCCATCCTTGCATGGAGAGTCATGGAGAGTTATGTTTACAGTCTCTTCTTATCTACCAAATTGACCTGTTGGTATGATATGAAAGATACATGGTCTAGTATGCTTCTGGTTTCCAACCATATTGTCAGCCCAGCACAGCAGAGAACCAAAATCCATATGGGAGTGCGGGGTGTAACTGCAACACAAGGTTAAAAAATATTTTTTTTTGGAAAACAAAATAAATATATCTCATTTGTCTATAATCAGGAAAAAGTTCAAAGGGTACACTTGTGTGAATCGAATAAACCATTTCATTAATGGCTGGTTTACAACAATTGACGGAACCGCATTCAAGTTTTCTGGCATCTTTTTCAATTTCCTTTCAATAAAAGAACGTTTGAATAAAAAGAGAATAGAGGTTGTGTGTAGAATCCCATGAGAGTCTAAGCTATTATATATTCCATCTATATTCTGTGGAAATATAAAAACCCCCAAAAATGTTTCTGTCAAAAATATGGTTTATTCAATGATAAACGAAAATCAGGATATTTTTACCACNCCCCCCCCGTCAAAAAAAAATCTATATGAAATTTAAGATAAAAGGCAAAAAATTTTAATTGAAACAGATCTAAGATACAAAGCCTAAAACCATCTGGCTCAAAGTGTAAGAACAAATGAAAATAATTGACTTTTAAAAATCACCATGTACATTATTGTGTTACCTTAGAACACTGTGTCCTGGGGATGAGCTAAAAAGATCCTAAATATTCAATTTTTAAACTTTTTTAAAATTTAATTTAAATAAGTTGTTTTATATTATTAAAATCATTTAAATTGTACTTTCGTCTTCTCACAGGAATTAATCATTTTGGAAGAGTTGTAAAACTGCTTTAAAGTCAATTTTCATGTTATCTGAGAAAATGCCATGCTAATTAATTGTTCAAGGGAATTTTTAATCCTTAAAGGGGGGTCATTCATATAAATCGAAAGGGTTCAAATTTAAAAATTTATATATTTTTCTTGGTCAACTCAATTTGGAAATTTTATAAATTCAAGTTTGAAGATTTGGGAGGAAGAACGATTTAAAAAAAATGGTAGAAAGTTATAAATGTTAAAATAAATTTAGGGACTGTAAGCGTGATTTCAAGGCTAAGATGGCAATGCCTGATTCCTATGCAGTAAATTCCCTTAAAAGTTTTGTCTGATCTAGTATATTAGATACAAACTTAAATGATTTTAAACACCGATTATTTTCAATGTGATTTCTCTACAAAAGCGACTTTCGCATTTCTACTGTTATAGGGAAATTTATTGGAATTTTCAAAATTAAATACTTTTAATCCTGAAAAATTAGATACTTCAGAATTTTGTTTAACAATTTCATTTCAACCATGGTTTCAGCTGCAAAAACTTTTAAATGATAATTTTCAAGTTAAAAAAAAAATCTCAAAATATCTAGAACACAATTAAAGGATTTCTTAAGATTATGCCAACCGTTCCTTTTAAGAAATCATTGTATAACCCCCCCCCCCTTCATCCCTGGCCATTACACTACCCATTGCAGGGAAATATATATCCAAGAACTCTTATTTAAAACTTAAATATTCCTTGTTAAGAAGAGTTGAAGTCAAAGAATTGTTGAAGAACCAAGAAAAAGAAACAGCAGAAGGATACGCATCCACCAAACATTCAACTAGACAAACAGGTGTCTAGAGTCTAGTGTCTAGTGTCTAGTGTCTAGTTTCTAGCATTTAATGTCTGATCTCTAATGTCTAGTGTCTAGTGTCTAGTGTCAAGTATCTAGTGTCTAGTGTCTAGAGTGTATAGTGTCTAGTGTCTAGTGTCTAATGTCTAGTGTCTAGTGTCTAATGTCAAGTGTCTAGTGTCTAGTGTCTAGTGTCTAGTGTCTAGAGTCGAGTGTCTAGTGTCTAGTGTCTAGTGTCTAGTGTCTAGTTTCTAGAATCTAATGTCTAATGTCTAGTGTCTAGTGTCAAGTATCTAGTTTCTAGTGTCTAGTGTCTAGTGTCTAGTGTCTAGAGTGTATAGTGTCTAGTGTCTAATGTCTAGTGTCTAGTGTCTAGTGTCTAGTGTCTAGTGTCTAGTGTC